CCAGCACTCGCCTCGATGACTGAGGGAAACCACGAAAAAAAAACAACGTAAGATAGCCGGTATAGGGATCGAACCCGGGCTTTCCGATTGCGAAGTCAACGCGCTAAGCCCTGATCCACCTCGCTCGGAACTCCGATACCTCCACATACTCAGTAATTAATAATATTACTTGTCCACATTACCTTTTTCTAAGCTGATGGAAATACTGCAGTCTGTATTATTAATTACCGCATTCTAGATCTCCGCATCCCATTGAAGCCTGAATGTAGAGACGGAAAGTCGTGACACACTGTTAACTATGAAGAAACAAATACCGAGAACTTTTATTATTATATTTATTATTATTAAAAGCAAGCAGATGCGAGCTTACGGGAGATAGAGGTTAGGACTCAAAGCTTTTGATGACCTTCTGCGCCTTCGTGTGGCAAATCCAGGCTCTGACCGACCATAAGCCCCAAACATTGTCTTTTAAACAAAGTCACTAAATCGTTGATTCTCATTTGCGATACATCAAATATTCTCAAGGGAAATTTGATACAAATTTAGTCGATTAATAGCTTATTGTAGGTCATTGGTACCCGGAAATGACAATATTCAAGTTGTATAACGTATTTACACAGGGGGGTATATGGTAGCCATATTAGACATGACGAAAAGAAAACGTAAATATTGCAACACGTGACACACGACTCATGAGTGTTAGAGGATGGAAAAGCAGTAAATATTTGACTTTGGATATTCATAATAAAATGTAAGCACAGTCATGATTTGGGGCGTGACCAATTTTTAAATATTAATTTTTATTTAAGTAGCGTCGTATGATGGAATGCAAGAGAGATGTACTACCAATAGTGACACGTTTTATTCCCGGTGTAAGCGTCAGGACAAAATAAACGATAGACAATTATTATAGAAAGTTATAACACAAGTGAAAACGGCGGTTACATTTTTCATCAAGACCTTATTAAGGATGCGAGCACTTGTACACGACATAATAATAATCTAAATAACGTATAATCTAATAATTTTCGCTACCGTTTTTTAGATTCGGTAAGGGACACTCTTATAATGCATTTAAATACGGAAATTACATATTAGCAGTTCAAATGGCTCAGGGACGTGTTCAAGAGACGTTTAATCAACGCGATTGTGAAAAAAAGTCGAAACAGGAATGTCCATCCGAGACATTCGTTGAAGAGATTTAGTGTACATAGTTTCTGTTATTATTAGGTTTAGAAAAATCAACTTCGTTTATTTAATATTCTTTGTTACAATTTCGGGAAATTGGTGTTCAGATTAAAGGGCAAAAATTACAATCTTAACATCAAGATAGTACAAGAACAGAAGATTCCCTGAGGTGTTTGGGGAGCTTCGTGGGAAAACGCACCTTCAACATCATCGCAGCCTCAATACCTTCATGAACTGTAAGCGCCTCGGAAAACGTCGAACAATAAATTTAAGTCCTTGCAAAAGGAAGATCAAACAGACATTTAAAAGATCTAAGTAGATCAAATAAATTAATGCTTCAGTTCAATGGCATGCCAACAAAGTAACTGCACAAAGCAAAATTTGTAAAGAAAATAAAGTTTCAATTGATGTTGAAATGAATAAACTACTGTTCACCTTGTCATGATTGTTACGATACGTGTTGCTACCGCTATCGTTGCTACGCATAAGCAGCTTTATACAGATGCCTACTCACAGTTAACTTCCAGTAACAATTTTTACATTCAATTGCTCTGAAACTACTTGCGGTTTTGCATTTAATCAAAGTGCATTTAATACAAAACTGTATGCTCTTTCGGAGACGTTAAATTGACATTCTTGAATTTTCTCACTATTTTCGAGATTTTTGCGAAAAACAAACTTTTCCGTAAGCAGCAGGGAACGAGTATAGTAATAGTTTTTACGAAATCTCATACAAACAGTAACTTGTCTCTCGTCTTGAAGGTCACATGTACAGTATTTCATTAAGAACGGAATAAAACTAGATTTGTATGAAATAAAAACAAATCTTTATGTAATAGAAAATAATTTTAAAAAAGTAGCCTAAGTTATGCACGACAAAACATTATATTGAAAACCGCACCAAAACTGAATCAGCCGTTCCAAAGATTGACCGAGAGACACAAAAATTGCAAAAATAATTGAATTTTTTATCATACAAATAAACATATGATTGTAAAAGGTTGTTATTTTGAAATCACAGACAGACACTCCAGTTTTATTGATTTAGGAGAAGAAGAAGAAGAAGCAAGAAGACGAAGAAGAGAAGAAGAGAAGAAGATAAGAAGAAAG